GCCCGGGGCCGGGGCGGGGGCTCCGGGGAGACCATGCCCGGAGGCCGGCCGGCCGCAGCATGGCTCACGGGCCCGGCGCTCTGATGCTCAAGTGCGTGGTGGTCGGCGACGGGGCGGTGGGCAAGACGTGCCTGCTCATGAGCTATGCCAACGACGCCTTCCCCGAGGAGTACGTGCCCACCGTCTTCGACCACTACGCAGGTAAGGCTCGGAATGCTGACTAAGGGGCTGCTCCCCGGGCCGGGAACTTTGGAGCAACTTTGGTGGAGCCCCCCTCGCCGCCTCCCTGGAGCGCGCTCCCAACCACTCCCCCGCTGCGCCCTCCGCCTGGCAGCGCTGTCCCGGACCTCCCCTGGCCGCGGGCCCCTGCTCCTCCGGGACACCCCAGTTCCCCCCAGCCCCGCGCCCCAGACCTTCCCGCAGCCTCCTCCCCTCTTACCCCAAGACACAGGGGCTGGGGAGGTGGGGGGAGAGAGATTTCAGGGTACCAGGCCAGACGTCGCTCTGGGGACTGGCGAGGAGAAAGGGGTGGACGGCTGGGGTGGGGGGCTACATACACCTCGATTTCAGACCACTTCCCAGTGAGGTGGACACAAAGAAAAAGGGGGTGACATTTCCGGAGAGTGCCCACATGACTCCAGCAGGGTGGGGGAGAGGAGGGTTTGGGTAGGAGTGAAACCGTCCCGGAGCCCCGGTCACTGTGAGCCTCTCTCCCCGCCCCCACTTCTGTCCTTGCAGTCAGCGTCACCGTTGGGGGCAAGCAGTACCTCCTGGGACTCTATGACACAGCCGGACAGGTGAGTGCCCGGGCCTCTGGCCAACACCTCCTCCCTTTCCTCAATTCTGTGTGGCTCTGAAGGGTCTGGGGAAATTGAGGTGTCTAAGTGGGAGGATCTGTCTTCCAGAAGAGCCCTCTGGATTAGGTCTTTTTCTCAAGTCAGCAAATTATGAAAACAAAACAAAACAAATGCAGCCCAGCAATGTGAACCTCTGATAAGTGAAAGTTTGTGCCTGTGTGGGTCGTTCTGTGTGGTCCCAACTCCTGTTGCAAAGCGGCAGTAGCCAATGGCGAAGCGTCCTTATTTTTAGTTGCAGATGACCAGGTCTCCCCCTCACAGCCTCAGTCTGGTCTCTCATTGGTGAGTGGTCTGCCTGCCCGAGGAGCCTGATTGGTAGGAAATGGCATCATCTAACATGATGGGAAGGCATTTGGTCCTGGTTATGTTTATTACAACATCATTGCACTCTGGGACTCCAGTCCCTGAAAACGTAATTTGTGGTGTTACCAGAGGACTGCAGGGAAAAAGAAAAGAAATAACAACCATTCAGCCACTCCCTAGAGTGGGATAGGAAAAGGTTAGGGGTTCAGGGTGAATCCTCCAGGAAGAGCTTTTTATCTCCCCCCCTCCCTCCAGGAAGGCAAGTGACTTTGGGTTTTCTTTGGAGAGGTTATTAAATTGAAAGAAAATGAACACTTTCCACTGCAGCTTCTGGCTAATGTTTACAAATCAGAAGTGGCCAGGTTGTACTTCTCCTGTAGGACTAAGGGCTTTTTTTTTTTTCTATCTCCTTGTCCTGGTTCATCCCTCTTTCTAGACCCACTTTTTACTCTGGAGCTAAGATTTCATGTGATGAAGTCTTACAGAATCCAGCTCTATGATTTGACCTGAAAGAATGACATTTCTGTGTGCCATGCTGACTTGTGTCCCTGAAGACATGTTAGCAGCTGGAGGGCTTGGAGAGTCACTTTGGGGGAAGTCCAGTTAATTGTGTTTCCCATCTATAGAGAGGGGTAACATCCCTCTCCTCACACAAACGTGCACACACAAACACACAGACTGTGTATGCTAGATTTTCAGCACTGAGCATAGCACATACTTGGTACTCAGTAAAGGGAGTGCTGCTCTTTGTAGCATGTCTAGATTTGGCTTTCAGAATTGTGGTTCTCAGATTGTGTTAGATTCTAAAAATGGTTTGTTTCAGGGGGTGGGGTATCTTGATGTAGCATTGGCTTCTGAACTGTTAAGTTAGAGGAATATCTGAGGATGGACAACTACTGGCAGTTCACGATGCCAGAGACCACCCACCCCTATCACCAAACGGGCTCAAGTACATGTGGTTAGTTCTCAGCTTTCCATGGCCAGTTTTGGCAGAACTTACCCAGTCAAATAAGAACAACTTTTAAGTAGTAAGTACACTTGATAAATAAGAGGTTGACATTATTGGTTATTATTGGTTAAAAAGAGGATGGTTTTTTGGGCATTTACCCAAATGATCACAAACAAGACTATACTAAAGCTACCAGCACAACTATGTTTCTTGCAGCATTATTCACCATAGCTAAGGTATGGAACCAACCCAGATGCCCCTCAGTAGATGAATGGATCAAGAAAATGTGGTGTATATAATACAATGGAATTCTATGCCTCCATCAGAAAGAATGACACCACCCCATTTGTTAGGAAATGGAAAGACTTGAAAAAAATATTAGGTGAAGTAAGCCAGGTCCAAAGAAACATAGGTCCCATGGTTTCCCTTATTTGCAATAACTAGTATATGGCTGGGACAAGCAGAAAAGGTCAAAGCTATGTACATATGTCCAGATAAGGTGATGTTAAGTGAAATGAACCCCAAGATAGGGACACAAATGATGTTTGCTTTCTTTCTTCTAATGTGTTTATAATGTACCATGTGATTTTTTTGTTTCTTTGTATGTTCCTCCCTCGCAATATAACCCCTGTTCTCACTGTATTTGATATCGGTACCCTGCATCTTGTATATACACTTCTCTAATTTGGGGAGGGTAAGGGAAAAAAACAAAATGCTTAAATAGGGTTACAGGTTGACGCACTGTAACAATGAAATATATAAGACACTATGTTGAAAAATGAACTTTACAATTAGGCCTGTGGGAGGGGGGTACTTGTAGAGGTGGGAGGGAAGAGATGGTAGGGGAAAAACAAAGGAGGAGGCAACAGTGCTTGATAGGAAATGTACTCATTACCTTGCTCATGTAACTGTAACCCCTCTATACAGTATTTTTATAATAAAAAACCATTTTTTAAAAGTCTCTAATTTGAACTTCTCTTACTGCCTCTTCTTTCTGTATTTACTTATCCAAATAATGTTTTTGACCAAGCACCCTATTCAGCTGGACATGTGTGTGTCAGAGCTGTTCTATGCAACTCAGATCCAACTATTTCCCAAGCCCCATCTGCATATTTGGAGTGGGACAACCACATGCGAATACTACTTTATTTACTCCATAAAACAGCCTTGTAAAATGATAGGTAGCTTGCATTTTTGTAGACAAGGAAATGGGCTCAGAGAAGCTAGGTTGCTTGCCTTTGGTCACACAGCTGCTAAGAAGTGCTGCTGGGTTTACAACCTGGATCTAAGTCTGCTTTGGTCATGGGAGGTGCTGGGATGCCCTCTAAATCGGTGGCATTATTTGTATTTAGATGTAGAACCTGGAATCTTCACAGCCATTCTGAGATAGGAGAACTTCAATCTTAAAGACTACCTAAAGTTGAGCCCATTCACAGAGCCATCATCACTTTTCCAGTTAGCATAAGAAATACAACAAGCAGGATCGATAGAAGACTCCAATATTACTGTTTTTTACCCAGTGATGGGACAGCTACTCTCTTTGCCCGAATTAAGTTCCCTTCATGTTTCTCCCAGTTGCTATGACTTTTGGTTTTTGATCAGCTAGTAATAATTCATCTCTTATTACTAATAAGCAAAATTACTCATAATGAGACAGAATGACAAATGCCCTTTGTGCACATAGTACTATGCTAAGCATTTGGGTAGTACAAAAGAATAAATTTAAGAAATAGGGATCTGCCACAGCTGATGTCAGCTGAGGCAACAGTGTTGTGCCTATTCATATGTCTTAGATAGATTTCTGTATTATATTTGAGTACTTAAGAACCCCTGTGGCCAGGTGCCGATAGCTCACGCCTGTAATCCTAGCTACTCAGGAAGCTGAAATCTGAGGATCATGGTTGGAAGCCTGCCAGGGCAGAAAAGTCTGTGAAACTCCTACCTCCAATAAACTACACAGAAAAAGCCAGACGTGTTGCTGTGGCTCAAGTGGTAGAGTGCTGGCCTTAAGTACAAAGAGGCTCAGGGCCTGGGCCCAAGCCCTGAGTTAAAGCCCCAGGACTGACAAAAACAAACAAACAAAAATGAACAAACAAAAACCTCTATGAATTGACAACAGATTCCTTGTATAGTAACAACAATGGTAAATAATACATAAACACATGTATGCACATATGTATGTATGTACTCTATGCATGTACCTACCTACCTACCATCTAATCTGTCACACATGGGTTATGTTTTTTAATTGTAAACGTAATGTACAGAGGGGTTCCAGTTAGAAAAGTCAGGTAATGAGTACATTTCTTTTTGAACAGTGTCACCTCTTCCCTCATTTTCTTCTAGTTTTTTCCCTCCCCCACAAATTGTATCATTCGTTTTAAGTTGTATAGTTCATTTTCAACATAGTATCTAGTGAGTATCACTGCTGCATTAATTCATCCTTTGTCCTCCCTTTTCTCACACGTGAGTTTTAGAATCTAATCTCCATTTTATTGTACTAATTGTGTGGTTCTAACTGTTCTTTACCTTCTTTGTAATAATAATGTGGTTTGGGGGGATTTATGCTACAGAGTTGCTGTTATGGAAAAGCAGCTGATACTGTTTGATGCATGTGGTAGATATGTAAGGGATATTACTAGAAATTATACTCCACTGTGAGGAATTGGGGGGGCTGTCATGGGTGGAAGAGGACAGGGTATTATGCCTGGAGGTTGTTGAACCCACTGGAAGACCATACTCTTGAATGTTTTCAGCAGAAGTGTGGATGAAATCAGCATTTAGATTCTACAATTCATTAATGCCAGAGAAATAGCCAAGAGTTTTGTGTAGGACTTGAGAAGTAAAGGGGCATTTATAGGGGCTTAGTTTAGGTAAGAGGAAGAGCAGAAAGCTCTGAGCACTGGAAAATGCTTGCTTCTCTCCATAATGTTTACCCATACCCATGGATACCTGCTGTACTTACTAAATAACATAACAGCACCCTTCCTCGGGTTGGCCTCTCTAGTGCATGGCCTTTTTGATGACCCTATCCAGCCACAATCATTACTTGTCCAATTTATATATTAGGAATCAAAGGTCATTAAGGGAATATTGCAGATGACCTTTTGCCTCCTAGAGCAAGCTGACCTGTGCTGCTATTAGAACAGAGGGGAGAGAGAGGAGGAGGGAGAGGGGAAGAGTGAGAGTACTAGAGCTTGTTGGAACTCAGTTCTTGTCATGTGCTAAGCTTTGGAACATCCTTCAGTGTCTCAGCTCATCTAATAAGCATTGCTGTGAGAGGGAATGCTCTCCTCTCTTGGATGAGCTTTTGGGTGGTCCAGGAGCAGTGTGACAGTTTGGAGTGGGAGTTGTAGAAGCACCTTCCTTCTTACTGGAAGCCTTCTGGGGAGGTCTGGCTTCTTTCCTAGGCCTTAGTGAAGCTTCTCCTTTGCATCATAGCTTTTACAACAGCTCCATTGCTGTCTGCTCAGGCCAGGTTTGGAGAGGTAGATTGCCTGCCTGCTCTGCACTGTTTGGAGCAAAGAGAGGTGGGACAAACTCTCTGCCCAGACAAGCCGGCAGGGAGCTGCCTGGCAAGCTGCTCTCTAGCTGCAGGCTCCAGGCTGATCTCTTAATCTTTGGCAGGAAAGCAGAACTTGATACCCTGAAGAGGGAAACATTGAAGCCCAGTTTATCCTGGGGTCTC